GGGGGGGAGGCAGACCCAGAATTATTTTCCAGAATCTGGAAAATAAAAAGGAATTGTTAATACAACTACTCAAGAGTGACAGTCCCTCCCCTCAGCTAGAAGCTGTCCTTGATATTGAGAGAAGGAAACTCTTTGCCTCATTGATCTTCCTCCAATTGTTTTTCTTTTTATCAATTAAATTATTTGTTTATTCTAATTTGTTATACATGATGGCAGAATGCAATTCATTTCATATTACACATAGAGCACAATTTTTCAAGTCACTTGTTGTACACAAAGTACTTTCACATCGTTTGTGTCTTCATACATGTACTTAGGGTACTGATGTCTAACTTATTTCACTGTTTTTCCTACTCCCATGCCCCCTCCCTTCTTCTTCCTCCCCCTTGTCCTATCTAAAGTTCCTCCATTCCTCCCACGCTCTCCACCCATAGCCATTAAGAGTTGGTATCCTCATATCAAAGAAACCATTCAGTCTTTGGTTTTGGGGGGATTGGTTTACTTCATTTATTATTATATTCCCCAACTCCATCCATTTACCTGCAAATGCCATGATTTTATTCTCTTTTAATGTGAGTAATATTCCATTGTGTATATATACCAAAGTTTCCCTATCCATTCATCTACTGAAGGGCATCTGTATTGATTCCACAGTTTAGCTATTGTGAATCATGCTGCTATAAACATTGATGTGCCTACGTCACTGTAGTGTGCTATTTTTAAGCCCTTTGGGTATAAACAGAGGAGTAGGATAGCTGGGTCAAATGGTGGTTCCATTTCAAGTTTTCCAAGGAATCTCCATGTTTTCCACATTGGTTGCACCAATTTGCAGTCCCATCAGCAATGTATGAGTGCCTTTTCCCCCAACATCCTCACCAACACTTATTGTTGTTTGTATTCTTAATAGCTGCCATTCTGACTGGAGTCAGGTGAACCTTAGAGTAGATTTGATTTGCATTTCTCTAATTGCTAAAGATGTTGAACATTTTTTCATATATTTGTTGATTGATTGTATATGCTCTTCTGAGAAGTAGCTGTTCAATACCTTGGCCCATTTATTGATTGGGTTATTTGGTAGGTTTTTTTTTGATGTTAAGGTTTTGAGTGCTTTACATATCCTAGAGATTAGTGCTCTATCTGATGTACTTGTGTTAAAGATTTGATCCCATTCTGTAGGCTCTCTATGCACCTCACTGATTGTTTCTTTTGCTGAGAAGAAGCTTTTTTAGTTTGAATCCATCCCATTTATTTATTCTTGGTTTCAATTCCTGTGCTATAGGAGTCTTATTAAGGAAGGTGGGGCCTAATCCCACTTGATGGAAATTTGGATATACTTTTTCTTCCATTAGGCGTAAGGTCTCTGGTTTAATTCCTAGGTCCTTAATCCACTTTGAGTTGACTTTTGTGGATGGTTAGAGATAGAGATTTTATCTTGTTACATTGAATTTCCAGTTTTCCCAGCACCATATGTTGAAGAGGCTATCCTTTTTCCAATATATGTTTTTGGTGCCTTTGTCTAATATGAGGTAACTGTAATTATATGGGTTTGTCTCTGTGTCTTCTATTCTGTACCATTGGTCTACAGGTCTATTTTGGTGCCAAAACCATGGTGTTTTTGTTACTAATGCTCTGTAGTATAGTTTAAGGTCTGGAATAATAATGCCACCAGCTTCACTCCTCTTGGAAAGGATTGCTTTGGCTATTCTGGGTCTCTTATTTTTCCTGGTAAATTTCATGATTGTTTTTTTTTTCTTATTTCTGTGAGGAATGCCATTAGGATTTTGATTGGGATTGCATTGAATCTGTATAGAGCTTTAGGTAGTATGGTCATTTTGACAATATTAATTCTGCCTATCCAAGGATAAGGTAGATCTTTCCATCTTCTAAGGTCGTCTCAATTTCTTTCTTTAGTGTTCAATAGTTTTCATTGTAGAGGTCTTTCACCTCTTTCATTAAGTTGATTCCCAAGTTTTTTTTTTTTTTTGAGGCTATTGTAAATGGGGTAGTTTTCCTCGTTTCCATTTCAGTGGATTCATGTTGATATATAGGAATGGGTTGATTTATGGGTGTTGTTTTTATGTCCTGCTACTTTGCTGAATTCATTTATTAGTTCTAGAATTTTTCTGATGGAAGTTTTTGGGTCTTTTAGGTATAGAATCACATTGTCAGCAAACAGTGATAATTTGAGTTCTTCTTTTCCTATTTATATCCCTTTAATTTCTTTTGTTTGTTTAATTGTTCTGGCTAGAGTTTCTAGAACTACATTAAATAAGAAGTGGTGAAAGAGGGCATCCCTATCTTGTTCCACTTTTTGGAGGGAAGCTTTCAATTTTTTCTCCATTTAGAATGATGTTGGCCTGGGGCTTAGCATAGATAGCTTTTACAATGTTGAGATATGTTCCTGATATCCCTAGTTTTTCTAGTGTTTTGAACATGAAGCACTACTATATTTTG